AGCTGCTGAGGTTCTGGCCGTCTGCTGGTCACTGCTCTCAGCCATATGGGCCGGTCTGGATCTGAACGTCTGCAGAGTCCCCCTCCGTCACAGCTGCATGCCCCCCCCCCACACACACAGACATTTTTTGGTTTCTCCCAGAGGATAAACTCCCAGGAATAAACAGGAATGCTGTCACACCCAGCTGCTGACATCTCTCCCGGCGGTTGGTGTCAGGCAGGTACGGACTTGTAGGGACTGGAGGTTCAGTCTAGTTTGGACCTGGAAAGGTTCCAGTGGAAATCAGCCCACAGCGTCTTCCTCTCTCCACATTCAGAACATCAGAACCTCATTTCAGAAGGTTGGTCTGAAAACCAGCAGAACCCTGAGCTGCTGCTGGTAGAACCAACCAGAACCGTCACAGACCGACCCCCCCCCCATCAGACATGTCGGGACATGCAGTCCGACTGGTTCTGGGTGCTGCTTCATCTCAGCCATTCAGACCCGGTTCTGTGGTTCCACCTAAACTGGACCTCATTGTTTTGGTTCTGTTCCCTTTAAGTTCTAAGGTGTTCCAACTGGAACCGGATCAGCTGCCCCAAATCCAGTAAGGAGTCATTTCTGATGCCGGTCAGAACCAGGCTGGTTCTGGAGAAGTGGGCCGAGTCCTCGTAAGAACAGGGGCCCGAGTCCGTCTCTAAGGGTCCGGACTGACGGAGACTTCGGTCTGCTTACATCGGTCCAGGTGTGGACCAGAACCTGAGCTCAGCAGGGTCCATGTAGAACTGCACAGAACCGGCACTGACTGAGGTCCAGCGGTGCCGCCGTGCCTTTCACTGGCGCTCTGGTTCTGTTGGTCCGTCCTTCTGGGCCCAGACTGGTTCCGCAACCAGTAGGACCGGGTCTACTGACCCAACGTCTGTCTGTGGCCTTCCTTCCTTGCTTCCTTCCTTCCTTCCTTCCTTCCTTCCTTCCTTCCTGGGAACCTTGGTGGAACTTCAGGTTAGTAGTTAGTAGACCGTGACGCCTCCTCAGTGACTTCCTGTGTCTGCAATGGCTGGAGTCCCCAGCAGCTGTCCTGGGTCTGCCTGGGTCTGGGTGGGTCTGCCTGTCTCTGGGTGGGTCTGCCTGGGTCTGGGTGGGTCTGCCTGGGTCTGGGTGGGTCTGCCTGTCTCTGGGTGGGTCAGCCTGGAGGTCTGGCTGTGGGTCTGGTTCTGCCTCCTCAGTCTAACTAAAGGGAGCAGGTCCCATGATGCCGTTCTGTCTCCCTGCCCCCCTCCCTCAGCAGGGGGAGTCATTGAGGCGTGGAGTGTGACTGAGAGGCAGGTGCAGATGTCTCTGGGGAAAAGCTGCTTTCTGCTCCACTTCCTTCCTGCAGACTGACCCAGAATCACAATAAACGGCTCATTTTATCACCCTGACTGCTGGTCTGTGATAATCGACCCGGTTGCTGCAGACTGAGGATCTGCTTAAGGTTTAGGGGCGGGGCCTCTGAAGGAAGCTCTAACCTCTCTGGCCGCCTTGCTGCCCTGAGGCCAGGGGCGTCAGCAGAACCAATGCTATACGGGGGCAAAGTAGGGCACCCAAAGAAATGAGCGCGTGATGCGTGCAACAAAATCATTTTATGGACAATGATTGATTTTAGAAAAAACATTGGCACAGATAATTTATAGCACTTATTTATTATTATAAAGCATCATAAATGAATTTTCTGCGTCATTGAATATCTACCTGAACCAAAGTGAATTGAATCGGCCCTGGTGAACTAACCGTGTTTCTCTGATGCACTACTGATGGAGGCTCAATTTATCTGCATTAAATATGTCAGCAAACATGAACTTAAAGCTGAAAACTGCGATGATGCGGTGATGATGCGGTGATGATGCGGTGATGATGCTGTGATGATGCGGTAATGATCCGGTGATGATGCCGTGATGATGCTCTGATGATGCGGTGATTATCTTGTACATCATGGCCAGAAGCTTCCTTTGTTTCCCATTGTGCTCCTCATCATTCAGACCTAAATCCTTATTTTTAAATGAATGAATCACTGATAGTATCCGTGCCTCAGGCATCCACAGCAGGGCCCCCGTGAAAAGGGTCTGCTGATGTCTGAGGGCCTCGCAGTGAACCTCAGGACGGATCTAGCTGCTCCAGCTCTGCTGAGCTGTCGTCCTGTTTAGCCCCAGCCTTTGTGTGGAAGGTTGCTGGTTCACTCCTATTTGCATGAGCCTGGCATTAGCTTCACTGATTTGAATAACCAGGTTGGGTTGGGGGGGGGGCAAAGCGTGTGGTCTACTGCTGCGATCCGGGATGGAAAAGGAAATCTGTGGTGAAACAGTTTGTCTCCATTTGGTCCCTAATGATGAGCATCAGCTGCCTTCCTGTCTGTTAGGCCACGCCCACTGCAGCCCAGCCTCACTGAGACTTGGTTCAATGGCAGCAGCTGAAAACCAGACGGAATCGGAGCGAGGGAGACGAGACGGGCCTCCGTGTTACGATGTTCTTAACCCAGAAACGTCCATTAGCTGGAAGTCACTGACTGGATGACCTCAGATTTCCTTGGAGGCGGAACCTGGAACGATCCTCGGAAATTCCCTCTGCTTTTATTTTACAATAGTTCTTCAACCCCTTTTTTTTTTTTTTTTTTTTTTTTTTTTTTTCAACAGTAAATACGAGAATTTAACCCATGGGGGGGTGGCGGCCTAGTGGTTAGAGCATAGGGCAGAGGTCACGGTTTAGGGACCTGGGTCCGGACCCAGACCCGGATCCACCTGCTGGCTAATCTGGACCCAAACTGATTTAAAACATTTATAAATTACCGCATGTTGTCCGAAGACAGACTCTAAACGTCACTTGCTCCGCTTCTCCTGTTGCCCTGAAATCCCCCATCCTCCATCACCCCCCCGCAGCGCTGGGGGCGGTTCCTGGGAATCAGGAAATTCTCTATAAACCAAACTGAACGATTGTTGTTCTCTACTTCAAAAACCACTTTACATTTTAAAATGCTTGCCACTCTGGGTCCCTGAGCAAGACCTTTAACCCCACACTGCTCTCCAGGCGCCGCATAATGGCAGCCCACTGCTCCTCAAGGGGAGGGGTTAAATGCAGAGTTAATTTCATTGCTCTGTACTGGTGACGATGGAATGACAATAAAACGCTGGAAAATACGTCTTCATAAGGAGGAGGTGTTAGCCACATTAGCAGTTTATCATTTCCTGATCTC